GATTTTTATTTTCTTTACATTGAGATGAAACCCATACAGAAGGCTGTGGTCTTTGATCTTCATAGGTAAGTATTTTAAGTCCTCTTCACTTTCAGCAAGCATGGTTGTCTCATCTATATAGCTCAAGTTGTTAATTAGCTGTATATCACAGGTCTCTCTTGATGGCAAGTCTAAAGTCTGTGAGATGAAGGTTTGCCATCCTCACTTCTAAGGAGCATTCTGACATCTTGTTCTTCTGGCAGTCTATGTATGGTACTTTGAATGTTCTTCTCCAACACCATAATTCAAATGTATTGATTCTTCTATGGTCTTCTTTACTCATTAACTTCCACATACAACTGAAAACACTATGGATTGAGTCAGGCACATTTTAATCCTCAAACTGATAACTTTGTTCTTGAATACTTTATTTAAAGAGGTCTTTTGCTGCAGATTTGCCTAATGTAAAAATGCATCATTTGATTGCTTGACTGCTGCTTTCATGAACACTGATTGTGGATCCAACCAAAATGAAGTTCTTGATAACTTCAGTCTTTTCTCCCTATTTTCATGTTATTTATTGGTCCACTTAGGAGGATTTTCCTTTTCTTTACACTGAGACTCAATCCATACCAAAGGAGGTAGTCTTTGATCTTCATCACTAAGTATTGCTTTCTAGTCCTCTTTGCTTACAGCAAGCAGAGATGTGTCATCTGAATAGCTCAGGTTATTAATGAGTCTTCCTCCAATCCTATGCCTCATTCTTCTGCATATAAATGCAATTTCTCAGATTACTTGCGCAGCATACAGATATGGTAAGCATGGAGAAAGGATACAGCCTTGGCATACATATTTCCTGGTTCTCTTCTACCATTGCCTTTTGGTCTATATACAGATTCCTCACGAACAAAATTAAGTGTTATAGAATACTCATTTTTCGCAATGTTATCTACAGTTTGTTATGATTAACTTTATATAGTCAATAAAGCAAAAGTTAACGTTTTTTCTGGTATTCGCTGCGTTCCGCCACAAACCATCTGATGTCAACAATGATATCCCTAATTCCATGTCGTCTTCTGAATCAGGCTTGACTTTCTGACAGCTCGCTGTTGG